TGTGGTAGGCGCCGTCGCTGAAGCTCAGGTAGAAGACGTCGTAGATGGAGCGGTTGGTGTCCAGCTGGCTGGAGCCCCGGCGCTGGCACACGAAGCCGTCCAGGCCGCGCAGCACCAGGATGGGCCGGTTAATGAGCTTGAGCGAGAACTCCTCATCCTGGCCTGCGGGGACAGGGCTGCTGGGCCACCACGGCCGGCCGGGCCAGCCCGTCTGCCCTCCCGGTGCACCTGGGGGCCCCCGGATCGAGTGCCGCCCTGCGGGGCCTGGGAGACGGACCCCCGGGCACGCGCGGCAAGCTCGCTCACCCACAAAGTCGCTGACGGCCGCCAGCTGCCCGTTCTTCTTCATGCACACGTAGCGGCCGTTGCTGGCCTTCAGAGCCACCCGCCGGCCTCGCCATTCCACCTCAAACATGGTGTCAGCAGAACTGGAGAGGGGACAACAGGCGGGCATTCTGGGCCCAGCCTCCAGCAGCCCACCCCGGGGGGAGGGGCAAGAGCAGCCCCTCTGCTCTGGCCTCACCCATGGGCTTTCTTCCTGCCCCAGTTAAGGGCTATTCCTTGTAACCCCAAGGTCAGCAGTTCAAGACCACCAGCTCTGCCAGAGGAAGGTGACACTTCCCGCTCCCATAAAGACCTGCTGTCACTTCAGGCCTGTCCCCTAGGCTTGGTGTGAGTCGGGGTGGGGCTGCTGCCATAGTCCTTGTGAGCTCTCACCCTGGACCTGGACAGGGGGACTGCCCTGTCTCCCCTACACTACACAGAGGGGCCCCTCCCAGTGATGGTGGTGGAGGTGGAGGCAGAGGGGTGGGTGGTGGAGGTGGAGGGGTGACACTGGCAGAGGTGGTGGGGTGATGACGGAGCTTGAGAGGGTGGCCGAGGTGGGGGTGCCAGGAGAAAAGGCGCTGAGACAGGTGGAGCTGCCCCTGTGGGTTTCCAAGGCTGTGAATCAAATCATTAGGGGAGCAGACAGCCTGTCCTGGGGAGCTAGTGGGCTTGCACTGCTGACCCTGCAGTGAGCACCCCAACGCGTGACCCTTTGTGCCTCCTGGGTTATGTCACAGGAGGAGGGGTGGGCTGCTCACACTTGTGTGGCTGTGGCCTGGATGCCCCCATGGGTGACCAGCGTCCAGTAGCCCCCAGTACTGGAATAGAAGGTGCACTTCTTTGTCTCCCGGTCAATTTGCATCAGGAAGGTCTCGTGGTCCAGTTCTTCATCCTGATTGGCTGAGACATTGACCCCTGGAGAGAGGAGATGGGGTGGGGAGACATGCTCTTGGGGACCCTGAGAACAGAAGGCTCTTATCTGGGACCCTCTGGACATGGGATTTGTAAGGCCCCTCCAGGGGACATGGGGATGTGAGCACACTACCACCTTGGGCACCCTTGACGCCCCCCCAGCAGGCCATTCCGTGCCAGCAAATCCCCACTCAGCTAATCGGCAGGTAATCTGCTTCCTCCTCCCTCTGGGCCTGTACGGGAGTGGCGCCTGAGTCGGAGGCCAGGCGAGGC